CCAGCTTCAAAGCTTGCGCGGCTAGCGAGTTGAAATACCCGGGCAGACGAACACACATACACATGCATACACACAAACACACACACACACACACTGACAGGGTCGTTCCAATATGCGTTTTTGCTGCCTGTTGCAGCGCTCTCTAGCGGCACGGCAAAAACGCATATTGACGAGGGGTTGTTTGTATGTCTGCGTATCTGTGCGTCTGTGTATGCATCTGGCAAAAACGCATAAAAATGATCACCATAAATATTACGCAAGATTAATGAGCTATTGCGAAATGTTAGCAAAAACGCATAACGAAGTAAAAAAAAACAAAGTGGAAGGGGAAATTTCATGAAATTCTTCCTCTAAGTCAATTTCGTCAGACAAAAAGAACTGTTCCTAACCAATGACCACTAAAGAGGTTGAAATAGGCATTTGATAGTTCTTCGACGTGGATTTGTCAAATGTCCGTGTCACTGTCGTCAGTCTTTCCGTGCCCTGTCACACTGATATCTTGCCTGTTTCGCAAAATTAAAAGCCATGTGCTCATTCCGGTTCATCCATCCAGATTTATCCCTTTAGGGCAAGGAAAGAATTGATCCCCAGTATTCTAAACTGGCTTTTGTAGGGCGTAATTTTAGTGGCTACGTTTTTGTTTCGATTTGAAATTGAGGTGTATTTAGCGCTGATTTTGATGAGGCCGATGACGAAGAAAATAATGCAGCTCGTGTTGCTGTGAAGAACGACTATTTGATGCAAATGGTGTACGGTGTGGCCCATCTAATATTAGTATTTGATGAAGGTCTGACATATCTTTTCGTCATTTTCGAACAAAACTTTTACATTTTGATTTGAATTGATTTGACAATTACAAGCCCAGTTTTCACAAAGCAGAATTGCTCTTTAAACGTGGGATTCTAGAGATGAGATACAGCGAGTTTTTCAGCAAATGCATGGCCACATGTATTTTACTGTTGCTGCATTACATAACGCATTTGCTATATGCATATTTGCTGTCTTCTTTTTTTTTCGTCTTCCATCTCTTCTTTCTTCCCCTTTGTTTCTATCTTAAAACCATGTACACTACACACATACTAAACCTTCATCTAAGTTATCTTTGTTACCACCATCGTCGTACTGACAGGAGGTCCAATTGTGGTAGCGGTAAGAAATGTATACGACTCAGTGGACCGGAGCATTTCTTACTAGTACCACTTCCCCTTTTTCCACTTCGTTTTCCTTCTCTTCTTCCATTTCCTCATTTTCTACCTTAGCCTTAAATAAATTTGGATTCGTCTAGCCATCCTCTTAATTGCATTGATTTCAATTCTGCTCCACACTCATTCATTTTATCCTTTTCATTGTGGTTTAGCTGTAGTTGTTTCAAACGATTTATCGAAGGGCATTGATATCGTTACCAAATTGTTGAAATCAGATGAAATTTTTTGGAAACTCGTTGTTGAATTGCTTTATTTTTTAGAAAGGTATTTGAAAGTGCTGAAGATAGAGATCTGTCTTTTTTTTTGTTTTAAAATCACTTTTCGTATCTTTATTATTATTACTTGTGTCCCCCTGTCCACTGCTCCTCTGCTTCCCTTCTTTCTACCGTCATTTTTTTTAGAAAAATGTTGTTTGAGAGAGTGTAAATAATGTGATAGCATATGGCCAGCAGTGGCTTCTAATGACTTTTTTTCCAAATGAGTGTGGTCGTGAGAGCCTTAAAACTCGTATTTTTCACTGTTTCCGCAACTGTCGAAACCTGTCTTACTATCCATTGCAGTACCACCATTCGCCGTTTTTCGCCTAAAATAGGCATTTATGTCTGTTTGTGTACATTTTTCACATTTCATTAGGCAGTAGAGACAGTATATGTTAGGTCCTCATGTGGCCTTTGACTGAGCAGCGGAAGACAGCGAAGAGTGCCAGCACTTTGTTTTCCAATAAAAGCTTCACTTCAAATAAAAAGACGAGTCGAGGCGTCGCACAAGCTATTTAGCCGAAGGGGGCGCTAAGTAGGCAATATAAAATTATTTAGAATTTGGTCGAATTGTTGGAAATTAGTGAATGCATGGGATTAGGTCGAAGCGTTAAGGATTAGCGAGAGGAGGGCAGTGAGTCGAATTATAGGGTTACATATGTTTACTTCCTTTTGCGGACTTTTCATGGGTTTTTTCACGATACTGGCAACTTTTTTTGTATCACCATGAATACTATTAATGCTACTTTATTCATTCACAGATGTACATCGCTTGGCGAAGTAACTCTATTGCTTATGGCCGTGGCATCGCTTCTCGTTGAAAACATCTCCCAACGACACACATTTGCACAACAGTCTGTTTTGGAATGTATTGCTAAACGAGCGGAAAGCAAGCAGTGCAGTCTGTCGTTGCACGCGTGCGAAGATATTGTACAGAAACTGCGAAGCACATCAATCATACAATCTTCCGCCATTCTCACGAGTATTTTGAAAGAATAGGAAAAGTTTTGGAACTAAAGTATTTTCGCTGCATGTTGTTTCTCTGATCGTTAAGTAACGTGTGTTATTTGTTTTGTTTCGACATACCCGTGTAGGAAGAAATGGAAATGAGACAACTGTTGTTTTCTTGGTGAAGAAAGCGCGCTAAATGCTTATAAACAAGAGAAATCGCGAGAAATTTTACAGATTCGTGTAAAATTTAGCTAAAATCGCATCATTATCCATTTTTTGGGCAATGTCTGGGCTAGGGAGCGAAAAAGTGGATTCTGAGATTCCGGTTTTCGCGGTGAAGAAAGCACGCTAATTGCTTATTAACAAGAGAAATTCCGCAAAATCTTATAGATTTGTGTAAAATTTGGCTAAAATCGCGTCATTATCAATTTTTGGACAATGCCTTCGGCTAGGGAACGAAACAGTAGGCTCTAAGATTCCGGGAACAGCGCCAAAGTGCTAAGAGATATCAAATTTGGGTAAATGAGAAGTAGATCGGTGTAGAGATGATTTTTTTAGATGTATGAATGCTTATTTAGAAATTTGCTACGGCATGAATATCATTTGCCGGAGAGATGCTACTCCAGAAGAATAAGGCTGGAATTGGGATACACCCCGTTTTTAGGTTTTGGGTACATCAATTTCCGTTTTTTGCGTATCACGCATGAAACTTAGATCTGGCTTGGTTCTGCAGCAGCATTGCTCTGCAAATCCAACCGTTTTATCGTTGTTACAGATAAAAGCGTCTTGGTTTCCAATTGTTGAACACATTTCAGAGTTAGCAAGAACAGAAAAACCACAGACATCGCTACGACGCCGCTGAGCCTGATTCCATTGACTGAGTTTTTTTCATATCACAGCGATAACTCTTGCACACGCAAGGGTGCTCAAAGTGCCCCTCTAAGGTGCAGCTGTCTCTGTTCCTTTGAAGAAGTTTCTTTTCATTCTGAGTGAGATAGTAGCTCTACTGATTTTATGCAATTGCTTTAAGAAGAGGATGTATTGGTTGTTTCTTCTTCTGGGAGCTGGGGGTTATGATGCAAGTTCAGCTGATTGTTTTTAAATTCTTGGTACACCAATGTCAAAAGAAATCAACAAAACGTAGGGGACCAGACCTGCGAATGATGCCTTGAAACAGAAATCATGCACTGTTTTCAGGGTCGTCGATTAGGAACGCCGTTTTGATGGTATCAGTGGATTGCTCTCACGCGTTAGACGCCATTCCCCTGAGTAATTCGGTGTCTGATTTTTTTGTCCGCTTGATTAAATCTGAGCTCGCAATTTCATCTTTTTGCTCCATGCTGATCATCCTCTTTCTGAGGGCGAAGAGCTGTGGGAGATCGCTTTTAAACCTGTGAAACCGATCATTTTTGGCGTTGTTTGAAAAATGCGGCCCCCACGTGTCCGGGGACACTCTCTCTGCTGGAGGTTGTTTTGCTGCCCACCGCCATCCCTCCCTTCTTTGCAGACTTCATTGTTGTGCTGCCATGGGCCAGGAGAAAGAGAGCGAATAAAATGCTAATAATTAAATTTCACTGTTACAAATTAAAC